ATATTTATTCTAAGTGCGGAAGCGAAATAAAATAAATTATGATTAACATCCCTTACACAATAATCAAAACGTATTAAAGATATAAAAGAATAAATTAACTAAAGAAAATACTATAAATGAATACTATAAGGAAAACTAATAAATTCTTAGGCTTCTACACTAGCCCATAAAAATGTCACACTATCTCACTGTCACAGTAGTAAAGGTTGGTAGAAAACAAAAACGACCAATAAAGCATAATTCATAACAAATTCATTTATCAATAATAAAATCCTTTACTGTCCACGTACCTCGGTGAGATTTATGAAAACAACTTATGAAAACAATAACATTATAAACATCATAAGATCATGCACACTCTGTAACATAACACATATCATACTTTTGTATTTCAATCATCAGGCAACAAATTTCCTCTTTTATCAGCCTACTAGTATCCATGGGGATCCATAGGGGTTCCGCTACACGTGAACCATTTACCTTAATTCCAGGGCCGTCCCCATACTCTGTCCGGTATGAGCACCAAAACTATAAACCTCAATACCCCGTCCGGTATGAGGGTGAAGCAGGCCGTCCCCATACCCCGTCCGGTATGAGCTCCAAAACATTTAAAGTGTCCATACCTCGTCCGATATGAGAGACCCATGTTCCCGGTAGGGTTCCCTATGGACCCGGTCCGTCCACCATCTCCCAGGATATCTAGTGAGGCTGTCGACTTATCCATTTATAAATTCACATGCCCTTTTTATTTTTCTTAGTCTCAGTTACCCAATCAATATGAATACATAAACCAGTAATGCACACTAAACAAGGCAACACAACATCGGGTTCACAATAATTCACACCATAATAGATTGAACAGTGATTCATGCACACAAAACCACAGAATAAACAATCAAATACTATACTACATTTAGACTGTAAAATACATCAACCAGGAATATACCGACAAATATATCAAGTTCGGGCCTCATTAGCAATCTTAATTAATTATACATATCTATTAATTCATAAAATACCGTTTTATCATTTATTAAGCTTTAATGCCGTGATAGGAAATAGGGTGAGGGATCCTTACTTGTTTCGGAGTTTGAAATCGGGTTCTCACTGCGCCTACGGGTAGTCCCTAGATTCCCTGAATTTTTCTCCGGAAACTGAAACACACTTCCGATACCTGCACATGTCTCCAAAAATCTCAAATCAGACCTAGGGCCTATTCGGCCAATTTTAGAATTCGAGCACAGTGGCTCCGCCGTGCTCCGGCGAGGGCGGCGGCAGTCCGCCTAGGGTTGGCCGTTTCTGACCTTTTTCGGCCAAATTCGATCAAACTTGCATTGGTTCCTGTGATAAAATAAAACACCCCTAGGGCCCTCGGTGGGCCAAAAAAATCAAGAAAACCGAGACTTACCGGCGGCGGAGCTCTCGGGTGCAGCGGCTCCTCCGACGCGAGTCGCAGTTTGGTGTTTTGTTCCGGTCAACCTGTAGAGGAAAGGACGGTGGTCACAGTGGTGTAAAAATTGCATTGAACGGGAATCAGGAAGGGCCTCATCGGAGGCTAAAACTGAGGAAACCCACGGCGGCGCCGCTGGGCTTCGGTGGTATTTTTCGACCAATTGGCTGGTGGTTTGACTCTGATTTGGCCACAGGTGGGTTCAGCATTGAAAACCGAGCCAATGGGAGAAATTTTATCTCGTTTAGTGGCTGAAAAGTGCCCCGGCGCGGCGGTGGGTGGCGGTGGTCGGTTCCTCCGGTAGCTGGGCTGTCTTCTCCAGCAAAGGCTCTGGCGGCTAGGGTTTGGGATTGGGTGTGGATGAGATTATTTATAACCCTCCTCTTTTAATCTGAGTCGTCCATCACGATTTAATCTGGGCGGTCCGTGCATTATTTTATCTGGGCCATCTACACGCATGCAATCTGGGTCATCCGTGCGCGCGTTTTATTTGGGCCGTCCGTGCTCGCAGGAACGGATCTTAGACGTCCGATCGCGCGCACGCGGATCGCCCACGTGGCCGGTTCCGCGTGGCCTTCCTGCGTCAGTGTCTTTGCCACGCGGCGTGTCCTGGTTGGCCGGAGCTGCTGACCGGGCTGCTGACGTGGCTACTGACGTGGTGCAATTTTTTTAAATTGCGTTTTGACCCCTGATTTCCGATTTTCTTTCCAAAAATACCTCCAGAATATGAATTTTCACCCATTTTTTCAAAATTATTGTCAATTAAACTCCAAAAATAATTTTACCCATTTTTATTATTATTATTATTTTTATTTTCTATTAAATTAAATTAAACTAAATTAAAACATTTATATTTTTATTTAAATAAATAAATAAAAGAAAAAATTAAAATAAAAATAGATTATAATAATTCTAATAATAACAAAAATAAAAATAAAAAATTTTGGGCGTTACATAAATAATCCGAACACCCATGTATATAGGGCTAGGGTTTAGTCAAGTTATGGTAATTCCTAAATAACATATTTTTAATTGAAAAATGAAATAGAAATCCTAACCTAAATAAGATTAATATCCGGTCAAAGACAATGCTTCCCTTTGAAACCGAACTCTTTATTAAGATAGGAAATACAAAATTAAAAAAAGAAAACAAATCCTTTAAAATAAATATAAATTCGTCCAAGACTCTAGGGACATTTCTTGGTCAGCAAGCAACTTGAATGGAGGAAACAAATCCCTTAAAATAGGCATAAATTTGTCCAAGGCTCTAGGAAAGCTTCTTGGTCAGCAAGCAACCTGAATATAGACTAAAAAAAAGAAGTTACTTAAGGCCCAAGCAATATACATAGGCTGGTCATAATGAAAATAAGCTTCTTGGAGCCCAAGTAATCACAATGATGATGCTGAACTACTTGCGTAGTTATTGTTAATGTACTGTGCAAGCCCATTATCTTCTTGAAGTTCAAAACACATAGAATGAGCTTGTAATCCAATTCAGCTTGAGCAAGGTCATGGCCCAAAGGCCCAATTAAATGCACCAAATTGATTCTTGGGTATTGTCTCCATAACTCAGTCCAGGATAATTAGAAAGCATCCTTTTATGCATAGCTCTGAATGTTGGCATTCAATTGTTTGAAAATACTTCTAGTAATTGAACCAAGCCTCAATTTTGGGCAATCCTCATGATTTGCTTTGATATCTGCATCAGAATTGTTTTATTATTCGTTTTAAGAAACTCTTAACATTTTTTTCATCAAGTACTATGCATACGATGTGCAATTTGATTGCTTCCATCTCTCAGAAGGTGACCTCTCTACAGTAGTACTACTATCACTAATGGGGAGGGGTTCTTCTAAACAAATCACATGGTTCATCCATACACGCAAGCAAAATAGTAATTTGCTCCTTTAATTTTTTAAAATTAGTACCATTAAGCACGAGAATATTGTTTGAGTTATCAAATATAGTAAATGTATAAAACAAAATATCAAATTCACAACTAATATACATCTTATTCAATTATACAAACAAGTTATTAGAAAAAAAAGTAATTGTATATATAGACATATTTGGTATGGGATACAATTAAACCATTATAAGACACTAGACAATACAAATTATTAGAAAAAATATAATTGTATATGTAGACATACTTTGGTATGAAATATAACGAAGAAGACCATTATAAGAAACCAGACACAATATTAAAGTTTATTTTTTAAATAAAATAATAGTTTGTAAATGGTTTTCATAAAAAATTGATTAATAAATATTTAATAATAAATCATTTCTTCAAATCAACATATTTCATGCAGTGAAAATATAAAAATTTATTACATATTCATTACCACATTTATCTATAATTCGAACAAAAAAGATTTCTTTTGAGTCGATTATTTTCTGCATGAATTATTTAATATCTTTAATAACATATATATATATATATTTCGAAATAATAAATGATGTCACTTTAGTGACATTTTATTTTAATTTATTTTATTTTAAAATATGAAATTTTAATTTTAATTTAATTTAATGTCACTTTAGTCATTAACAAAGTTGCAGCCGCCAGAACGTGTGTGTGTATATATATCTATATCTATGTATATATTTTCCCTCTATTCTGGATCACTATAGATAAATTTGTTGTATATATATATACAGCTTTGGTCCACTTCTAAAGAAAACATCACATCCGTGTTTGCAGACATATGAAAGGAATATTTGATTTTATATAAATGGATATATTTTTTAAAAAAACTTATATTGACCCTTAAAATATCTTTTAATTTAATCATAACTCTATATTTTTCAATTAATCCTTATTATTAATTGTATTTTAATATCGTTTAATAGATATTGACATGATAAACAACATTATCAAGTAAATTTCTAATACATTAGACTTCACGTCATGTCCGTATATGCAGTGAAAATATTACCATCAAATATATACAAATATATATATATCTGTATAACTTGGAAGCCATGATTTAAATGTAATCTGCAGAATATGTTTCTATAGTTTGAGTAATATATCTAACTAAACTTATTCTGGGTTGTTTGTATATATGTATATATATTATATATATAACTGTTTTGTATGCAAATTTCTCCATGAACAGATTCATAAATTTATATAGAAGAGTTATGAAAAGGATAGAATCTAACAATTCAGTTTTTTTTTTTTTTTTTTTATAAGTTGGAACTTACAAATATACATATATATATATGTGTACTAGAGACTTGCTTCTATTAGTGCATATATATATAAGCAGTGGACAAAATTAAATTACGAGAAAAAGGAGGGATATTGAAATTACAGTATTATATATATATATATATATATGTATTAGACATCCAAATTACAATATTTAAAAATCCAAGATATTGAAATTATTTCTATTTTTTATTACTCAATTAATAATCAAATTTAAATTTGAGGGATTTTTTAAAATTTTTAAATTTAATTTTCTACTCAATCTCAAAATCTCTCATATTTTAACTTAATTATTCATCTTTGATTTAAATTTAACAACGATTTGGATATTTGATTTATTATATTTATAATAATCATTTATTTATTTACAAAGAAAAATAAAAAACACGATTCATAGGAAACAGAAATAAACTACCCAGTGCCGGTAACACCGAGATCCGGCGAGGTCTTGTCCTGATCGCCGGCGCCAAATACAGGACCACCTTGGCAAGCGGCATCCGGTACCTTGTCCTCCAGCTTCTCTACCTGGATGCCACCTTCGTCTTCCTTTGACTTCAAATTTAGCCTCGTCCTGTTCTCTCCCCCTTCTAGCGACTCGTAAGTCGTCGCCGTCTTCGACTCCGGTGGCTCTGCACCCTGTGCCCCTGACATTATTATTTTTGTTCCTGTCAATAGCAATTCGCAACTTCTTCTCTAACCTTTCTTCTTTTATGTATCCGCTTAGTGCCACCTCGTTCTTTAGATCAGAACAGGTGGCACTCGACTGTTTCAGGCGCGCGTCCGTGGTTACAAGAACGTGTTCATTGGTCGAGAAAGGAACGTGGCAGCCAATGATTCTGTTTGAAGTTTGTTTTCCTTATAAATTTACAAAATTAATTTGAAAATATTAGTTTTCAATAAAATTGTTTAGGAAAATCAGAGAATTTAATAAAATTATTTGTGAAAATAACAAAAAAAAGTTGTCTTTTTTGGATTATATAAAAAAAATATACTTTTAAAAATGGAAAGAAGTTCAAAAAATTAGATATGCCATGTTTTTTTTTTTTATTGTTTGTTGGATAAAATAAAATAATTATTTTCTATACATTTATTTAAATTAATTTTCAATTTTTACAACTTTTAAACTCTGGTAAATAAATATATACACAAAAAAATTATACAATGATTACAAAATTCACAAATTGAATCTAACAAGTCAAAAATTAGATTGATAAATTTTTGAATTACAGATGAGTAATTGAAGGGAATTACAGTATGAAATAAACTACAAGGGTAACAAGGAAACCTAAGAAAGCACCAGCTACAACTTCAACCTCTGTATGGCCAATTGATTCTTTTAATACTGGAGCTGACTCCTCACAAGATCTACCTGTTGTTGACTCAGTAGATAACATATTTACACACTCTCCTTCACAATTACAATCAATTGGATTACTTTTTTTCTTCATCACCACTTCATTAAGTACTTTTGCATGATTCCCCACTTCTCTTCTCACACCCTGCACACCAACTTAACAATGTTCTTTATATTTCCAAATCAATTCTCATATTTCAATAACTTAACAATGTCTGTCTCCATTTCTGGTGAAGCTCATGATTAGATTGTTGTAATCCAAGAAAGACTTTTCTTACTAGTTGTTGATCTAGACAAGAAATTTATACGCATTATCTATTAGATAGCAGGAGATTTTCTAACCAACTAAGTTAAAATCATCTTTGTCTCTTTTATGATTTTGATGCCTAGGGCTATTTGCTTGACTGGTTACTGGTATAACTTATTTTAGATTGCTCAAAAATTTTGCTTTCTACCGCCTATCTATTTTTCCCAATAACTTAGGTAAGAGCTTTAGTTGCTTTGTGATATTCTTGTTCCGTTAAAAATGAATGATAGTTTGGTAGTATTGTTAAATTCACTTCTAATTATCCCAGATTGAAGATGTCTCGTAAAGAATTATTTAGTAGTATTGTTAAAATCACCCACCTCCTCCCATATAGAAGAAAACATTAAATGGAAGATCTGTTTTCTTATAAATAATTATTTAATCCAACTGAACTTGGTGTATGCAACTTATTGTGATTCATCATGGGATGCAAAGCCAGCAGAGATGAAGAAGGATGAATAAAAAATGTTACAGAGAAGCAAATGGCACAATGAGGCAACAACATATGCAACTTAGTGTGATTCATAATGTGCAAAATATGAGAAAGATTGTGCACCCCGAACCAAACTTAAGAACTCATGTGAGCACAAGAACATACAAAACAAGGCTTTCATGATCAAGTAACTAGTGAATTCAAGATACAGAGCCGAACAGGATGCTTCAGAGCTTTAGAATTGGTTCTAGAGAATCTTAACTCAGTTAGCTATCGTGAATCTCACACTAGATGATGACGCACAAGCATTATTACTATTTAGTTCCTTAACATTCAGTTGGGAGAATTTGGTTGTCACTCAACAATTGTACTACAAATGAAAAGTTGACTTTGCAACAGGATTGACTACATGGATTCTTTTCCTATATTCCATCTACTCCAGGGATTTTCTTTGGTTCAGATATCGATTAATTGAAAAAACAATAGAAACTTAGTATAATTGAGATAAAAATTTCAATAATATTCTAATTCATGTTCAATTTAAGCAAATGTTTCTGTTGTCCCTACTTCCACACGTGAAACAGAAATTGATCATTCTAGAATTAAACCCAAGAATGAAGTTTGTTGCATTCTGAATCAAACATGAAAATTAGGATCACATTCTACATGTTAAAATTTGAGATGTAGGAACAGAGTGGGAATAGAAAAACTTTGAAACAAATGAGCTGTAAGGTCATATCAGTAAGGTATTTGAAATCAAATCCTTCTTCACTATTTGAACCTACATGGTCTTTGAAAATACCTATAACCTTCTCCACATGTTTTACCAACAATTACTCGTCAATGCTATGGCTTTTAGGTCCACATGTGCATTTTCAGAACTATTTATTTCCTATTGTTATTTTTCTTGTATTGGTATATATTCCACCTCTACATCTTCATTTTAGCCACAATTATCTCCAGTCAAAACAGTTCGCCAACCGCTCAGATTTATTCACGATATAGATCAATTTTTACAGTTCCAAGTTATTCCATAAAACTAGCAAAAATCTCTTGCTTCCATCATATCTACTATACACAAATCTAGAATGGAGTGAATCACCCTCAATCAAAGCGAAAAGCATTTTCATTGTGTCTGCCAACAGATTCAGAAGCAATCAAAAAGAAAATCCTGTCAAAATCCCTGGCACCCCCATGTTTCTTTTGAGTTTGAATTGACTCTAACTGATATTTAGGTTTAGCATTCACCAATGTCCACAATCTCTATGCTCTTTAATAACATAGGCTATCCTGATTTATCTCTTAATAATAATAAAAATCTAGCTGGGGATTATGACGGAAGGTCCTAATGGTTTGGCCAATCTCAGTTCAGTTTTTTATTCTACAATGTTTAACGAAATTTCAAATCCTGATTGGACAAACAAGGAAGGCATATTAAAAACTGTATGAGAGGTTAGAGAATTGGAATGTAAATGAAAAGCCAGGAAGTCGATCAGGTCATTTATTTACTTATTTATTTATTGTTAAGGGGCAAGCATGTAAAAAAAGTGTTATTAGGAAGAGAGAAAAAAGAGTAAGTAGAAAGATAATAACAGATCTTTCGACAACAGAAAAGTTGAATAAGTCAATTCCAGAATGCAAACAAACTCTTCCCAAAATAGACGAAGAGACACCTTGAAAGAGACCATGCATCTTAATCAAAGAGATATTGGGAAAACAAAAATTTCTCCAAAAGTAATGATATGGTTAACAGTCTCTAAAGACCCTAGTATTCCCCTCCGACCATAACACGAAAAATCCCAAATAGTTGCCAACAGTAAGGATTAAGTTTAATCCGCATCTTATCTGAGTCAACATATATAGATATTTACTCTTTCCATTTGGATGGTGGAAATGAAATTCAGTCATAGTATCTGTATAACTGAATATTAAAGCACGTGAATGTGATACTGAGATGAACAAATTTTCTAGGACCTGAACCTCACTTTGTTTTGAATACAATAGATGATCTATCAGGAAATCTTAGGCAGCGGATATTAAGAAGCATGAAATGATACAAGGCAACACACATGATAAAGACTAAATACCAATACATACATTATGCAATTGGATCAAGGCAAAAGAACTCTTCATGAATTAAGAAATGCATAAAGTAAGAATCAGATTTATTTAAAAAAAAAACAGAAAAAAAACTTGGAAAATCAAACATGCAGTTGAGGAATTATAAAAACAGGCTATGATTATTTTAAATACAAACAGAAACTGGAACAAGATAAAATTTACCTGGGCATCATACATGATAAGGCCTGCATAAACAACTGTGACTCCAAAAATGGAATCAGAGAAACCCCTAAAGACACAATTAAAAAAAAAAAGTGAAAGTTGTCAAGTAAGTCATTTAGCAAAATGATATTATCCCTTGAGAAACTGATACATACAGGCTAAAATTCAAGAAACATTACCTTTCAAGAGCAAGAGAAGTTGCTGCAGCCACCACAGACTATATATCCATATGTAAATAATCGTAAAGAAAAGGTTGAGTATGAAAGAAGAAAGTATAGAATAAGTAAAGCAAATTGCAGGAAAGATTAATGGCATACAGAAGAATGTGTAGAGGGGAAGCCACCAGCTTGAATCGCAGACTTGAAGTCGAAACGTTCGCCATAAAGAATAACGGAAGTGAAAGGCTTCGAAAGCTGGCCAATTGCCGCCGATGCAGCAGCCGCTATCAATACCTTCATATAGAAAATTGAGATTGGCGGAATGTATAAAAAAAACAAGAAGAAGATTGGCGGAATGTATAATAAAAAATAAAAAAAAAAGAAGAAGAAGAAGAAGAAGAGGTGTGAAAGATTTGAGTACCTTGTTATGGGCAATCTCAGCAACTTCCTGCAAATCAAATTTGAAGAAGCAAGTGAAGTGCGAAGGTTTCTTGAAAAGATTGTATTTCAGTAGGGTTTTGAAGAAGAAGGACCCTGGAAATGGAGCACTGGCATTGTTGGATGCAGAACACTGGAGTAGCATAATTCGTGGCTATAATTTCTTTAGCAAAGGTTTCTGTTTGTGTTGCAGAGGTGGAAGATAGAAAGGCTAAAACCAGAATCTCTTTGTTTATCCTCAAGTCTCTCTTCGTTGTTTTTCACCACAAACACTTGACTATTTTAGTTTATAAAAGATTTAAAGTTTAATTTTTTGACTATTTTAGTTTAATCACCTTATAATAATACTAACTATATTTTTTAGTTTACATATATCTTCATCAAAGCTATTTAATTCATCAAATTTAATAAAATATTTTTCATTTCGATTAAATTCATGAGCAAAATTTTAATTAAAGTACAATATTACGAATTAAAAGGCAAACACAAATAGATTTTGGTCTTCTATAATCACATATGATTTGAACAATTATGGTACTGATTTTTTATAATAATAAGACTAATGATATATGGAGATTTGATTATTTTTAATATATAAAATGATTAACTAAACGATTTATTTTTTAAAAAATAAAATATCAGTGATTGATTTACAATAATTAAAAGGTTAAAAATTAGATAAAAAAGTGAGAAATGACAATTAAACCCTTATAAATGTATAAACTATAATTTTAAAATCACTTTTTATTGTATTATTAAGGAAGCATCTTTTATCTTAGCATTATGGTAGTCTAATTCAAAAAAATTAACACTATAACAATCATCTCATAATATAATACTAGCCAAAATACCAAAATTTATCACATATTATTTGTAAATATTTAAATTTTATCATGTACTATTTCTTTTATCCAAATCAATTAAAAAATTATAATAAAAAAACATACAAATAATATCATCATTATTATGACCATCTGACGTAATTTCAAATAGGTAACATAATAATAATAAAGAGTTAACATGACAAAAAATATAAAACTAGCACCAGAATGAGCATATGTGAATAACATGTAATATGCCCTTTAATAGGTTAAATAACCCAAATATGAAATTGGTCCTCTATCTTCTCCACTATCACCCTCCTCTCTTCATCATCTATCTAACCATTTGAAGCACCATCCTTGTCGGGCTCCTCCATGATGTTCTGAAGCTTTTTTTAAAGGTAAAAGTTGTTTGCACTAGAAAACATTCCGAAAGTGTTGAAATTGTGACGAAGTGTTTATAAATCCTCTTGTAAGACCACCATAGCCTATAAGTTTTAGGACCTCTCTTCTTACTAAGTGTTTGGTAACTCTCTTACTACAGACCAACTACTGCATGATAACGAACTCCATCAATTTAGTTTCTTTGCCTGTCAATCTTCAAAAATCATCTTTCTTTTTGCCCTTAAATGTTTTGAAATTGAATTTGTTTATGCGGATGATTTAAGTGTTGAAACATTAGTAGAAATTTTAGGTTCTATTGTTATAATTTTGAACCCTTATATTTGGTCGTTAGGTTTTATAGTTTGAACTTCGGATAAATTTATAATTTAAATGCATGTTAGTAGAAAAAAAATGATAAAATTATTTTAATAAGAAAACTTGATAACTTAATGCTATATTATTGTGCCAAAGTTTTTCATACTTAGCATTCATATTAACTTATTTTAAAACCAACAAACAATTTCAAATATTTAATAACGTAAATGTGCGCACCAATAAGAATCATGATATAAATGTTAACTTTTAGTTTGACAGAACAATTTTTCAGTACTACGCAAAACCAAAGAACACTTAGAGGAATAATAATATTCATGAGCACTTAAATACACCAACTAGTAATCCATGGATGGCCAAGATAACCTTATACAATGTAAAGGAATAAGAGAGAATCTTTTTTTTTTTAGATAAAATAGTAGTATTGATATGTTTTATGTCAGATAATTAAATCACACCCTCTTTTAATTAATTATTTTAATGTACATTTGTTTCCATAAATTACACAATAACATCCATTATCTCTTAAGAAGAAGAAACAATAAAAATTGAAACATTGAAAAAGTTTCTGAGTTTCTGACTGAAAATCATTGAAAAAATAAAATGAATTATTTTCTCATATGTTATGTGAGCATTATCATTGATGTGTTTAATCTACGCCTTTTATGTCTTGGCATGTGCGCTATATTATAGTGGCATAAAAAATAATGGGGGCATTTGCAAAGTAACTCAATTTATTATTTTGAACATGTGGGTCCCATATTTGGAATCCATTTACATGTCACTTTAAGTTATAGGGGTCCATGTGGGGCTCCATGTCTTTTAGTTATGTATTCCCATGAATGATTTTTTAAGCTTGTGATTCTTAAAACTATTTGTTCATTGTGATCCAACATGTTAACTTTAGGATAACAAACTACTTGTTACTCCAAAATTCTTATAAATGAATTGGAGTTGCAAAAAAAAAAAAAAAAAAAATTTAAAAAAAAATATTTTATCTTTCAATTAAAAAAGAATTATTTTAGATTGGCACAAATGAGTACTATTAGGATGTAAAAAGAGATAAAAAAGAGAATATACATTTCTAGGACGATATAAAAATTATTATTTATTTTGTTAAGGGTGTCCAACATTACAAATTGGTTTTCACAATTATTGCGTAACTTATTTGTCGATAAACTTTAAATTATTATTTTTTACCAACTAACTTTCATTACAATAATTAACCAATTAATAGGTATGACTGATATGCCAATTAAATTAAGATTTCATCATAAAGGAAAATTTTGGTATAATAAAGAGTTGAAGTATATGGGTAGGGAGACAAAGATTTATGATAAGGTTGATGTTAATCAATTTGGATGGTTTACATTAAAGAACTATGTGGTTGATCTAAGTTATACAAGTATAAGAAGGGTATTATGGTTATTACCTAATATGAGCATAGGCAATAGTAGGTTTAGATTGTTAAAATGGCGATAAAGTATGTTAAGAATGTCCTGGGTTCATCTGTAGCGGTAATACTATGGACATTTTCTTGAAAAGATGTATTCCATTTAAACCTATGGTATATCCCACTAGATTGCAAATTCATGAGAGAGATTTATTTAGAGGATGTCTTTTGTATTTTCATTTACCATGAGAAAGTTGACTTTATAAGTTTTAGTGAATTAAGGAGACAAGCTATAGGAGATGATGGAAATTATTTAAAGGAAACAAGGGATGCCAAAGATGAGATAGATGTAGCACACTTACCACAAATGTGTGATAATAACAACATAAACAAATTAAGTAGTAGAGTTTTAAACATTTGAATATAAATTTGGCATAGAAATGGTGTGAGAGCAATTACACTAATTGATTAAATCCACGAAGTTACTTGGATAACGATATGTATTCATATGATGATGATGCAAATTATATTCCTAAAAAGGAGAAGCTCATTTTACAATATGGTGCAAATACAATTTACCTTGATTAGTCTCTCAATATATTGTTGAAAGATGCAAATGACTTTAAGAAAGTTGTCATTAAGTATGTTGTAGCAAAAGGAGTTTGGCTTCAGTATAAAAAGAATAACCCACCAAGCTACTAGTTATTTGTAGATGAAACTACCCATTAGGGTTGTACACTAGTAGCTCCACATTAAATAAGTCATTTAAGATAAAGATTTTCATACCGTAGCATATGTGTTACAGGGATAATAAGATAAAAGCAATCACAACTTTATACATAGATAAGGTCTATAAGAGCATAATTGATGACAAGTAAACATTAAATTACATGCACTTAAAGAGCTCTTCAAGAAGAACTTATACATAGATAAGGTCTATAAGAGCATAATTGATGACAAGTAAACATTAAATTACATGCATTTAAAGAGCTCTTCAAGAAGAACTGAAGGTGAACATCACAATTAATAAGTTCAAACAAACAAAGAAGATTGTTTTGGATGAGATTAAGGGATGTTACAAGCCTCGGTATATAAGATTATATAATTGTATAGAGGAATTGAGAATTCCCAATCTTAGGTCAATTTTCATAGTTGTGGTGCACAAGGAGGAGATTGATGGTAAAGAAAAATCATTATTCAAGAACTTCAATATGTATTGACGTTGTAAAATGTATGGATATCTATGTGTATACCTATTGTAGGCATTGATGGGTGTTTTTTTTAAAGAATGGGTAATTGTTAGTTTTTATCTATAATTGATAGAGATTTCAAAAATTAGATATTCTTAATTACATAGGGGATTGTGATGGTAGATTCAAAAGCCACATGGAGATGGTTTTTGCAATTACTAAATATATTGATTTATTTAAGGGCAAGGAATCAGACATGTAAAAGGTATGAGTTGCAGTATTTACTATAATTATTATAATTTTCACACAATTACCTTTATATATGATGACAAGATTTGATTCTAACAGTTGAAGAATGATATCCCTTGGTAGGCATAGACTTTATGCTAGACATATTAACTTGAATTGGGTGAAGAATTGGAGAGGTGATGAGCTGAAAACACAATTTTGATCATGTACTCGGTCAAAGTATGAACAACAGTTTGCACAACAACTAGTAGCATTTGACATGATCGTGAAAGGATTAGTTGGAAATGCAATCAATGTGAGTCCACATAAATCGGTCAAATCCTTATTCAACATTACACCAAAGTATGATATTATTGATAAAGACTTGGCTGAGACATTCAATACGTGGAGTTTAGAAGCTAGATACAAGCCGATAATTCATATACTGGATGAGATCAAGATGTTGATTATGAATATGATACATATAAAGTGGATATCAATTGAGTATTAGGCTAAAGGAATTTCCTCAAGAGTAACGAAAAGGTTAGAAAATCTTAAGGTTTATTCATGGACTGGAATTATTACTAGGATATCAGGTTGTATATAGAGATGATGGAGATATAATATGTCAAAGAACGAAGATGATATACGTGGTCAACGATCCACATCAGTAGAATGCACACGTGGTGGATACTTAGACAGGAAAGGAAAAGCAAAGGTGGCAGAGTTGCCACGTCAGGAGACTGAAGGTCGTCTCCCTCCACCTCAGTAGCAGCAGTACAGAAACCCTTAAGTCTTTGTCATCGTGTCTCCCAATCATTGGTGACCTGCAGATCTGTTAATGATTTTCCACATATTCCTTGTAACTGATTGTGCAGTGGGTGATGTACCTATCATATGGTTGT